AAAGCCTAAAAAATATTTTAAAAATTCTTTTAGGTCGATTTTGTTGATGTAGAATATTCAGAGAAGCCTACATCACGAGAAGTGTCAAAATGGAGCTTGAACCGACTTTGACATCAAACCCTGAAACAGGAAAGACAACGTGAAGTGTTAATCAGGAAAGAAGACTTGGAGAAACAAAAAGGAAAAGGGCTACTAACTAAAAGGAAATCGTTAGTATCATAGAATTGGAAAACCATTGTCATCTATTTGTATAAATAGATGTCGATGGTAGCTTTAGAGATTAAGCGTTGAGAGAGATATCATTCTAAAGAAAAAAAGGGTGAGAGTTCCTTGTAAAGAGTTTTGAGAGAGATTAGATTATTCATAGAGATACTTGTAAGTTCTCTACTTAGATTTCTTGTAAGTTACCTTAAAGAAGATAATCTAACTGAAGTGTGTTTGAAAAAGAAACTCTATTGCTATTATTTTACGTCGCTTCACAAAAACTCTATTGTTTCCACACTTTCAGATTAAGTTTGAACCAACAGGTTGATTGCTGAGCATTTGAATCAGCCTTTGTATATTCAAACCTGAGCATGTATCCCAATCTAGGTTGTCGTACTTGTTAGCTTGGTATTTGAATTCTCATCGTCTCCGTCTTCTTGTGGAACCCCATAATCTTTCATGAATTGCAAAGCCCTTTCCACATGAGATCCAAAGCACGAGTGCTTCTTTTTTTACTAGGTTTTGTTATCAACGGAATTTATTCTCGTGGATCGATTGTTGTGGCGATGTAGCGTGCACTTAGCGTCACAAAAGCTTGATCTGGAGATTTGGTTTTTAACCAACAACTATTTATATGGTGTGATTCAGCTCCTCATCCCTTCTGTTTGATATAAACACGATATGTCATGTTATTGTTTGTTAATGAAATGGACCTTTTTTCTGTGGGGCAATGTGTTTATATCGAACTTTGGATATTTTCCAATAGATTTATCTAATATATTTTGAGCAAAATGTAAAACTATTCATTACTTTTGTTAAGTTTCCTTTTTCGTTATGTGGGCCAGATTTGTACAACAAGAGTCAGATTGTGATTTAAACTATTCCCTCCATATCATATTACTTGATGTTTTAGAGAATTATTTTTGTATTAAATTAGTTGATGTTTTCATTTTTCAATTAAAAAATTAATACTTTTTAGTTTTTTCATGACATTAGAATTCTGCAATATTTTTTGTGATTGGTTAAACTAATTTTATTAAATGTAAAAATCATTGATTAATGTAAAAGTACACAAAACTACACTATTTATATGGTTTTTTAATTTGTACGAAACATCCTTACAACATCAAGTAATTTGATACAGAGGGATTATGGGTTAAATTCAATTTAACAATCAAAGAACATGAATGTTTCCAGGATATCCACCAAGGCTTTATCAAATTTTGGTGGCAAAAAACAAAATAAATTTTCTTCACACTTTATTCTATCTACATTCTTTCACCTAAAAGAACTTCATGCGAAACATCAGTTCCATCAATCTTCCACTAACTCCGAAAATTGGTTTTTAACTCATTTTAATATATGTAATACCCATTCTTGAGATCATTAATTAATGTTCTAGCTTGTGATATAGAACAACATGCCAACATTTATTACTAATTTATATGAAATGGTAGATAGTAAAAGAACCATTTTTCGAATCGAAATCACATACAACTATTACAGTTTTTGTAAATTGTCTTAGGCCCGATATGTTGATACCAAACGTGGGATCGCGATGCCTAACATCATTGACCTATAACCATCATCGATGCATCAAAACGATGAGTGAGAGAAGAGCCCATACTTTGAAATACAACTATCGTTGCTCATATAGGCTGGATCTCAAGTCTCTTCAACGTAGCATCTAAATCACCACCAGCAAAATCATAATTTTTTATCCTAATTTTCACCGTTTTTACGTTGAATTTAACAGTTAGAAAATTATAATTCATTTTTTTGTTGTAATGTAATTCCATAATTATTTATATATTTTAGACCAGCAAATAATTATACACAAAACTAGCATCCATTCCTTTTTATAATCTCTTCAACGAACTCACATTGTTTACAACATAAACCTAGCAAGTACCTAAAAATTAATGGTACTGAATTTTTAATTGACTAGCTAGCAATGTTGTTGGAAAAAATATTAGTTTAGTGTGATCCAACTGATCGCGGACTCGTCTGG